ACTGCAGTCCACCCTGGATGAGAACAACTTTTGGGAAAGCAAGGCAATGTGAAATTAAATGGAAACGTCATTTCTACTCATATCATTGTGGGTAAATTCGAGTACTATTCCTTCATAACCTTAAACGAAATAGGGTGAATACTTCTCATATTACTGATTTACTGGTAGTCTCGAAACTCTACTCAAACACGAAAATTATATATTTGGAGTTACAAATATTTGTGAGTGGGCAATTTTTATTCATATATTAGGAAATTTGATGTTCAAGGTATAAAAACAGTGATTATGGGCCCAAGTAATTAGGAAAAAGCCAGGTAATTTCAATCCCTATCGCGGTTCCATGAATCATGTACACCAAATTCGGTATTAGCAGGTGTGATTACCGGGACGTTAACTAGGTTCGATACAACTGACGAAATTTGAGCAATTTTTGACACTGCTGTGCTAAATTGGAATTCTCACCACTGTTTTTGGGAAAATTAAGAATTTTCACGACCCGTTGGAGGTCTTAATGAGATTATGGGTTGAGGTCGGAACTGTAATTAAGTCACCTGGGCGCATAACAAGGAAATTTTCCAAGGAACAACAAATTTTTTCCTTAATTTATCCTAGACAAAATCACATTCATTCGTTGAAGTAAGCTACAAGTAGCAGCATATCCCATCCATATTAAAATGCTACGCAAACCTCAAGCCCTCATCGCTGCTGAGGCTAGTTTTCAGCCTGGAAGCTTAGTATAAACTTTTAAGGTAAATTAAAAATGCACGAATAACCCGAAGCAAGACCGTTTTTTAGTAAACGCCTTCCGTAATTTTCGCTCACCATTTTCGTTGCCGCAGACGAAAGACTATGTTCAAGGCCTCATCACAACTTGACAGTTTTTCCAGTTCGTGGATTTAACATTTATGCTGAACTGATTTAGCAGAAACGAATCAAAAAACGTATCCTCGCTCATTTTAGGGAGACAATTTTACTCGAGCCGGGTATGCCATTAGGAAGGCGCAAAAAGCACATCTGGTCAGGGAAATCTGGTGCAATTAAGGCACAAGCCCAGGTACAGCTCTTAACTAGGATGCATCCTTCAGTCAAAAGTATATGCAAAATTTGGAGCTGCTCAAGCCTCCAGACCATATTTTTCAATTTTAACATTTTTTATCCCTTTAAGTATACCATTTATCGTCTATCTTAGTCATCGGTACCGACAAACAGATGGTCGTCGAGACGAGGCATCCGGCTGGGCCCACTGCTCGTCTGGCTCTCTTCGTGAGCGATCAGATACATTCAGACCTCGGCTGGTTCCGATTTTTTGGGCTTTTGCCTGAGCCGTACCAGTCACACCAAAAAGTAGTCAGACTTCCGTAAGGCAAAACTGGGTGAAATGTACACCTATGAAGCATCCAGACAAAACGTTCTCCTTA